TAGAACATCTCAGTCACACGGAAGTGGTAAACAAGTCGTATGCGACATGCGTTCCCTCTCAAGAATATTATAACATATAATATTACATGACTAGCAACGACGCCAATGATACGAATACGATAACAATTTTAAATAAAACAACAATACAATATATCAAATCGAACTGAATAAAGCTCTGAGTACAAAAATTCGAAAATCACATACAGTAGAATATAATAAAATATGAAATACAGTCATAAACGAATAACATTCTACTATACTGTTCAAAAGTTGCTCAGTCCATCAATCTACTCAGGTAGTCCGCTATCACATTGTCCCGTCCAGGAATATCCTCAACACGATAATTATATCCTTGCAGAGTCATCGCCCATCTCATCACTCGGTCATTTGCAAACTTGGCTTTATGCAGGTAAGACAATGGTTGATGATCCGCCTGCAAAATGAACTCCACACCGGCTTTTCTGCATCGGATAACTTCTTACTTGCATACGCAACTGGATGAAGCTTCTCACCATGATTCTGCATAAGTACTGCTCCAATTCCTTCCTGAGACGCGTCCGTCCGCAATACAAATGGTTTCTGTGGGTCTGGCAACTTCAAAATTGGTTTTCCCAATAAGTATTCCCGCAAAGTGTTATATGCTTTCTCCTGGGCCTCTCCCCATACAACTTTGTTGGGTTGTCCTTTCCTTAGTAGATCACTCAGGGGTGCTGCAATAGTTGCGAATAAGGAGATGTGGTCTCTGTAGTAATTGACCAGCCCAAAGAATGATCGTACACCTTTCTTGGTCACTGGTCTTTGCGCTTCTCGAATTTTTTCCATGTTGTCGTGACTCGGACTCACCCAATTGTGTCCAATTTCATGACCCAGGAATTCTACTGATGTTGCACCCAGAACACACTTGGATGGTCTAGCTGTTATGTCCGCTGCCCTCAGTCTTCGTAACAACTCAGATAATACTTTAACATGCTCATCCCAGCAGCTTGAATAAACTATCAGGTCATCTATATAGCTTCCAACCCCCTCCATATCTGACAATAATTTCCTGATTCCCCGCACCAGAGTAGCTCCCGAATTCTTCATTCCAAATGGCATCCTTAAAAATTCAAAATCAAAACCGCTGAGACTGACCGCGTCACAGCAAGGTCGCGTGTCCAGTAAACAAATCGGTTAAAGTGAGTTGCGTGTTTTGCATGAGTGGAAAGTCCTCACGCTCGGCTACCGGTACTTCGTGTACCGGGACGACGAGTAAGAGGCCCGACGGTGGAGGTACCGATATTTTTCCCCGCTGATCGGAAGGCATCCTCACAGTCTGTTTTTTCAGGTGGTGGTTTACCCAATTTTACCGGCTGCAGCGAGGCTGTGCCCCTGGAGGCTTTCCTCCTATGGGGCCCATTGCAGGTCCTTTTGTGGACCTTCCTCGCACGGCGCCGGGTTTGCCTCTGAGTTGAGGGCTTTGGTCGAAGGACTGTCGGGGCAATTGTGTCCCTGGCAGGCCGGGTAGATCAGATGCAGTCAGAGCGAGTTGTCTCCACTGTGTCCCCTCGGTGGGCAAGCAGGAAGAAACATGAAAGCATGTTTGCATTCAAACATGTCTCTTCCGGGGAACCTCCGTTCCCAGCCGCGGCTCTCCCACTATATTGGGGGGAGGCCGAGGCTCAGGCTAATTGCAACGGGCCTCCTCTGGAGCCTCGGGCACTGAATGCCAATGGGGTGCTGGCAGCCAAGCCTTCGATCTCGGGGCAAGGCTTTCAGGGCAGGGTACACGTTGACCCCCCTACTTTCAGCCAGCTAGGGTTCGTTACGCGGTAACGGTACAACGGTAATGAATTTATCCTTGTGTCCGGTCTCGGCTGTGGGTTTTTTACTCCTTTCTTACCGACCCACGGGCGTCCCCAGAGGGAACCGACCCTGTCATGAGACGCACAGTCGAACACGCTCCCTCTCACATATTTAAAGTGAAAGAGGACGCAGTTCACTCGCGTCGGATACAGCCGGTACTCCGGGTGGTCCCTCAGAGTCTTTCATCTGTATGACTCGGTGAGCCACGCTTTTGGGGTGAGGCGGAATATCATCAATCCCAGTGATACGATGTACACTGTAGATACCCCCACCCTTGATCCTAAAGCGACCACCTAAGGTTGCTTCAACGCTTATGGGTTCACGGGCGTCAGGATCCAAAGCGACCCCGTTGGCACATCTCTCCCTGTCCGTCTGAGTGCGGAGTGGGGTGC